GGGCTAGCAAAGTACATTCTACCAATTGCATATCCCCTTTCTCTTGATTTCCATCTCTTTTCTGACTTGAGCCAAACATAATGTTGTGGAAATTCTTGATAAGTGAATAGACATTCATCTTCACTGGCAGCACAATATGCAAAGAAGCTAGTAAGAGTTGACATTTGTTGACCAGCTCTAGATTGAATCGTTTGTAATGACTCTTCTGGGTTAAAAACAACACGATGCATTCCAGGTAAATGAAGTGCCAATCGTACAACTGTTGGCATCTCTGCATGCAAAGGATGACCAAATATTCGCCAAGCAGCTTCTGGAGGTCCAATATACCTTGCATCGAGATATTGTTGAATCTCATTTATCATTCCTAACACCATCGTTGTACGATCATAACCCTTATAAATGTACTTATGTATATACTTGACACATCTTATTCCGGCACAAACTTTCACATTTATATGGCAATTGAAAAGTTTTGAAAGATATGCATTGTATGGTACGACATCCCTGTTATCAACTTCTTGCCCTCTCACAGTATGTACTTGACCATTATTACGACGACGATAGATAGGGTATCCATCTTGATCCATAGTTGTTGTTTCTGTGAAAGCTCGAGGGTATCTCTTAGTGCATCTACCATTTTCCATACGTGGTGCTTGCGGATTTCGAGCACCACATGGTCCATGTACCATACAACATTTGATAGTTTCAAAAAGCATAGGATCATCTTTTGGGTCTGGAAATTCTGCACAGACCAATTTGATTATTGCGACGACGATAGATAGGGTATCCATCTTGATCCATAGTTGTTGTTTCTGTGAAAGCTCGAGGATATCTCTTAGTGTATCTACCATTTTCCATACATGGTGCTTGTGGATTTCGAGCACCACATGGTCCATGTACCATACAACATTTGATAGTTTCAAAAAGCATAGGATCATCTTTTGGGTCTGGAAATTCTGCACAGACCAATTTGTCTACTTGAGCACATGTCCGAATTTTGTTTGGACCCTTGAGAAATAAAAGTGCATGCATATGAGGGAGGCCTCGTTTTTGAAATTCAATTGTAAAAACATGTGCAACTTTATTTCCAAACACTTTATTTGTTTCTATCTCCTTCATCAAACATTTTCTCTTCAACTCAAAAACACAGGCAATTAAATCAGGACGATCAATAGGTTTTTGATATGGTAATAATGCTGAAGTAATTTCTGGCCAATTGGGATTTGCAGTCATGGTAAGAAAAATATCTGGGTGTTGGTTGTATCGTGTGATAACCATTGAATCTTGAAAGATTTCAAACATTTGTCTAGGACTACCAGTAAATGAAGATGGCAAAACAAACCTTTGACCAATTTGTCCAAGTCGCACATAATCTAGATCCATATCTGACAACTCTTAGTAAAGCTCAGCCCGAAGTTTTCCTTGATTAAGCTTGTAGTATGTCAATCGATTTTGCTCAGTTGCAGCCCAAGCATCTACCAAAAACTCTTGAAATAGTTTCCCACCTCTCAAAATTGTTGAATACTCTGTGGGTCGTTCAAACAAACGATAACTATAAAAATTCATTTGAGTAAGTCGATCAGTTGAAGGTCGATCATACTGAACATTCCACAATTTCAACTCAGGTTCCCATCCAAGCTCACCATATGGAAATAATAGAACATAATGTAATAGCAAGTATGCTGGGTGACATTCATTAATTTGCATCAACTCATTATTTCCTCGGAAATGTAAAATAATATCTCTCATTCCATTTACCTCTGTTCCATCACCTGGTATTACAATTGCAATCTCATCTGTAGTTGGTAGGTTATACCGACATCGATTAGTTGTTGAATTGTAATGAAGATAAGCAGGTAGATTGTGTCTTGCCGAGTCTAATTGATGTAAAATGGCATGAGCTTGGCGAAATTTATCTACAAATGCATAGACTTGCAACAAACTATCCTGAATAGTTTTGAGAACATCCCTTCTCAAGTTAGGATTTCTACGATTACGAATTTCTAAAGCTGAATAAGGGTCATAGATATACAGCTGAGCATAACTCGCATCCTACCCTGGTTGTGGTTGTAGTGATCCTGTTCGATGTCACAATTCCCCATGAATTGTGAATGATGTAGGGCCCCTTCCACTGAGTACTCTAGGATCCAATGTAGCACCAAGACTTGTAAAAGCATTGGCTGCATTGTACACTCGAGTATAACTTCGAAAGGATTTTGATTGATCATTATTCCCATCATACAATGCCTGAAGTGGTGGAGGGGGTGTAATAAGTAAAGGTAGCTTAATCTTTCCTTCCAAACAGCAAGTTCCAAATAAGGGACGCTTTATAGATGATTTTGTCAATTTTCCATCCATCAAATGTAAGGCTGAACAATAAGGACATAATACATCCATCTTGCCAAGATAATGGCGGTAAGAATCTTTGTGTGCCCGAGCGTCAATTGATATACTCGTAGGCAGATCTTGTAATTCATCATCAGTACATAGATCTTGCTGAAGAAATCGATTTATAGGAGTAGACCTATGAATATTTGTGTATAAATAAAATTCTGTAAAACAAAACGGTATGAGTAAAAGTATGTATTTGAAGATTAGACACAGTAATTTACCGATTCCTTTGTGAGTTTGAAGATGTGTTTGGCATAGAAAATGAACATGTAGAATGATGGGTAACCATTGTTCGTTTTTGTGCCGACTGAGAATCTTCAGTTATTGTTTCCCACTCCAAGTGAGTGCGATCGCGACGAATTGGTGTTAAAGAACGTTGTCTTAGTTGAACACATTCTTCTAATCCCTCTTGCTCTCGTTGCAAGCATTGAAATTCAATTTTTTCACGCTCTCGTCGTGCCCGTTGGGCCAATGCAGCTTTTGATATTACATTATCATTTTGTGCCTAAAAAGAAAATATTTTATCATTGAAGCAAAATATGTGAATATTTTGTGCTTAAAATGAAACTATCTTCTTATTTCTTCCCTTTCTCTTAATTTTGTTTTCTATTTTATTTGTTTTATACCTTTAATAGTGTTATCTTTATTTCTTTTTTTCTTATTTCTTCACTTTCTATCTTCCTATTTCTTCCCTTTCCCTTTCTCTTTTTTTGTTTTCTATTTTATATATTAAATAAGAATTAAAAACCTATCTTATTTAGTTTCTCCTTTCTTTATATATTTTTTCTTTATTTCTTCGTTTATTTTTTCCTATTCTCTTTATATAAGTAGCAACTTATGGATGGTACATTATAAATGCACATGTATCCATGCAAAATAAGAATAAATAAATTTGAAAAACACATACAAATAATAGCAAGTTACAGGAAAACATATTACAATCATTCTACAAAAACAACATAATACAATAAATTCATTTTATACACTCATATATTTTAACTATTCAAAATTTTGATTAGTTTTGCATCATATTTTTAAAAAAGAATATATACCACTTGACATGCATTTGTCATTCTCTTGCCGGAATGAGCCATCTTTTCTTTTCCTTTAGACATTGGGTTGACCTTTTCTTTATTTTTTGCCTAACAAATATAAATAAAATATTGAAAAGATTAAAAAAATCTTATATAATCTTATATAAATAAAATACATACAATGTTTGACTTGATTTTGTACTTACTGCACGAACACGGATAACATTAAGGTCGTGCTCACCACGGATGACCACACCAACATTTCTACATGGAGTTATAGGAGGAGGCCTACAGAAATAGATTGTGAACAAATTAAAATCTATATAATAAAGTGGTAATAGTAAGAGTAAAAAAATTCAAGATTGTCTTGGGTAAAAAATTCTTTTTCTTTTTACCAATTTGGTGTTAAAGAAGGTTGTCTTGGGTTAATACATTCCTTCGATCTTTCTCTTTCTTGTTCTCGTCGCAAGCGTTGTCCCAATTGGTATGCAGAACATGGCTTTTGATTTTTTTCACGTTCTCGCCGTGCACGTTGGGCCAATGTAGCTTTTGATAACACATTATCATTGTGTGCCTAAAATGAGAATATTATATAAGAAGGTGCATAAAATGTGAAGGTTAACTAACTTGCTTCCCTTTCATCATGTATTTTTTCTTCCTTTTAACTAACTTTTCCTCTTCACTCGGTTAAGTTGTTAGTCATATAAGAACCAATGCATGTATTTATGAAATTTAAAAAGGAGGGGAAAAATAATTTGAAAACACATTAAGCACACAAAACTGCAAACTCACTATGCACGCACTTATTGGTTTTAAGACACTACCCATCTCTTTACAAAATGTACGTTGAAAAGGTAAATATTAGATCATTGGTTACGTAAAATGTGAATATTAGCGTGTAATGTCTTGTACTTTCCTTTTCTCTCTTCTTGTTGTTTCTGTTATACAAAAATGCATTTTTTGTCTTTTTCTTCTTTCCTTAAGAACTTCTTATAAGAAAAATAAAAATTAAAAAAATTATATTATGTAGTTTCCTTTTCATCACATATTTGTTTTTTCTTCTTATTTTCCTTTTTCGTTTTCTTCTATTATATTTTTATTATGTTATGTTGTAGATGCAACATATTGTACAAATGCAACATATTTTTATCATACAAATAGACAAACATATTAAAAATTCAAATTAATGTTCATTCAAATGCATTAGCATGTTGTACAAATGCTTACTTTAACATGCTTCAGAAAAACATTTCACATTTAATAAAAAGAATTGAATAAATTTTTGAAAAAGAAACTTTTGAAAAATATACATAAAAAATAGTATATGACACTATGCAATTCCTTAAAAAATCTATATAATATTCAAAAACGAAACTTTTAAAAATTGTTGAGAAACCACACCATGGGATGTGCATTTTCCTTTCCTTTGCCATAAGGAATAGCTTTTTTTGTTTCCTTTGATATTGCTTTGTCTTTTTCCTTTGCCTTTGCCTGTAAAAAATAAGAAGAATATATTTATAAATTATTTTTAAAATGATAAGAAAATACATGTCCAATGTTCAAGTGACTTTTAGGCTTATCTCATGAATGCAAATAGTATTAAGGTCACGCTCATCGCGAATAACAACATTAACATTTCTTTCTTGAAGAAATCGAACCTATACATACAAAAACTTTGGAGTGATAAATAAAACTTTATACACATAAATAAGAAAATTAGTAAAGGGGGGTGATATTACGGTTCGGTGTAAGTCCCCATCCACCTATAAAGCATGAGGAAAAAAAAAAATTAGAATAGTGATATTGTCCATAACTGTTGTATTTAAATTTATAAGAGAGGTACTTAAATTTATATGAAGAGAAAAAAGAAGAAAAAAAACTTACTTGACCAAAAATAGTGATATTGTTCATAACTGTTGTACTTCAACCTAATTGGTTATATAATTTTAGACACAAAGAAACAAAAAAAATTAGCAATAATAAAAGTTAACATGGATTTCATTGGCAATGAAATGTTATTTCCAAATATGTTGCGACCAAATCGAATAATAAAATTCAAAATTTTATTTAAATAAATAACTGCCATGAATAGGAAATACTTAACGGGTTACAAACAAGAGGAAAAGAAATAAATAAAAATATAAACTTCTAAGAAAAAGAAAAAGGTCAACAGATACCAGAGGCACGTGCCTTCTCTGTTTAGAATGGTACAGTTTTTTTTTTTTAAAATTTTTTATAACAAAATGTTAAATACATTTTTTGGGGTTAAGTTAAATACTCGGTGAATTTGATTCAAAACAAAACGGATTATGTTAAATACTTGTGTTAAGTTAAATACTTGTAAGTTTAATATATATATTTTTTCATGAAGACAACTAAAGTAATATGCACACACATAAGGATTGACTAGAATTTTTGAAATACAACATAGAATATTATATTCCCTTAAAAAGGTGCCAAAAAAAAAAAAAAACATAAACTCTCTTGCTATATTACACATAAATGTAAAAATGCCAAGTCTTTCAAATTTTTCTTTTAATTAGGAACTCTAGATATTCACAAAAAAATTAAATGAAAAATATTTATCATCTGTACAACTAAATATTACATTTGAATGGTACAACTAAATAAATATATTACACAGCAAATAAAATGTTAAATAAATTTTTCTGAGTGCCAGTTTAATTTTTTTGTTGCAGGAAGATCAATTAAATAAATCACCCTTACTTTCTTTTTAAATAGCTCCAAACAAATAGTCCATTCCCCCTCCCCTTCTCTCTCTCTACATTCTTTGCGAAACCCATAATCAAACTCAGATTTTCTGAGTCAAACCAGCATTTAGAATAGATGTTTTTTAACCGTCACATTAAAATGATAAATTAAAACTGGAGCACAATAAAATGGTCTAAATTTGAACTTTTCTCTTTGTTAACTGACTTCAATTTTATAAAGATGAAATTAAAACCAAAATCACACAACAAATATATTACATTTGAATGGTACAGCTAAATAAATATATTACACAGCAAATAAAATGTTAAATAATTTTTTTTGAGTGTGAGTTTAATTTTTTTGTTGCAGGAAGATCAACTAAATGAATCACCCTTAATTTATTTTTAAATTGCTCCAAACAAACAGTTCATTCCCTATCAGACTAATTTGTACAATACAAAGCACTAATCACAAACCAAGTCCCAAATAACCTATCTCTATATCTCTCTCTCTCCCTACATTCTTTGAGAAACCCATAATCAAACTCACATTTTCTGAGTCAACCCAGCATTTAGAATAGATGTTTTTTAACAATCACATTAAAATGATAAATTACAACTCGAGCACAATAATTGTCCGAATTTGAATTTTTCTCTTTCTTAACCGACTTCAATTTTATAGAGATGAAATTAAAACCAAAATTAAAACCCATTATAATCATAAATATTTTGAAGTTCACCATTTATGACTTGGAAAGTCCAAACATAAATTTATGCCAAAAAAAAAAAAATTCACCACATAAGAAAGCCATTTTATAAGCAATAATGAATAATTATTTCATTAAGCAACTAAAGTAATACACACATATGCATTGACCAGAATTTTTGAAATGCAACACAGAATATTATACTCCCTTAAAAAAGTGGAAAAAAAAGGAACATAAACTCTCTTGCCATATTACACATAAATGTTAAAATGCCAAGTCTTTCAAAAAAAAAAAAATTAAATGAAAAAAAATAGTCCCTTTCTTTTTAGAATCACACAACAAATATACTACATTTGAATGGTACAATTTTTTTTTTTTTTATAACAAAATGTTAAATACAGTTTTTTGAGTTAAGTTAAATACTTGGTGAAGTTAAATACTTGTAGGATATCTATAACGGATTATGTTAAATACTTGTGTTAAGTTTGTTATTTCTTGGCAATCCCATTTGACAAAACGCCTTTGAGTTGTAATTTTATTCGCATTTTTATTTCAGTGATGCTATGAGTTGTTAGATGCGAATCCAACCCGAATCAAGCCTTTCAGAGAAGTTTGTGATGCTAATGCTTTCAAGATTGCCACTTCATTGATTATGACGGGGATCGAACTGCCCGGTCAGCTCGCGGGGGTCGAGGGGGCAGCGCCCCTTGGCGGGTCCGGGGCAGCGCCACGGCGGGGTCGAGGGGCAGCGCCCCCGAAGCAAAATGCAAAAATGCATACCAAGTTGCCTGTCCGCTCAAGCGGAGAATGCTGGGTTTCAGAAGTTTGTCAGGTCTGTAAAAATACTGGAAGGTGTGATTTTGCGCTCGAGCGGGTTCTCTAGCGCTCGAGCGGACCTCTGTTATATCACGCGCATATTTTGCTAAAGCCGCTCGAGCGGGCTGTTGGGCGCTCGAGCGGAGATCGCGGGACAGATTCTATAAATTCGCGTGTTGGGTCAGATTTTAGTATTACTACTCCAGATCTTCTTTTTGGTTTCTAGGGTTTATATCTGGGGATACTTTGTGAGTTTTCTTTGATGTTTTGATTGAGTATTCAACTCATGTTCTAAAGGGTATACATCAAAGGTTTTGTTTGTTTTGCAAGTTCTACAAAAGAGAGAGTTGTTCTTCGGTGGATTCTGAAGAATTTGAGCCTGAAGCTTTGGTGGATTCCGAGGTGGCTCATCGTAAAGACAATTCCGAGGTGAAGACAAGTTGGAAGAGGCACATAGAGGTTGGTTCAATTAGGCGTAGATTTGCTGGGTAATTGAGAGTATACCGTGTAATTCCTTTAAATCTTTTTAGTGGATTGTTTTGTAGCTGTTGCCCGTGGTTTTTTAATCACAGTTGGAGGTGTCCAATTGTGGTTTTTTTCCACGTAAAATCGTTGTGTCTCTTTGTCTTGACTGTTTGATTGGGATTGTTATATTCTGCTTAAAATTGATACATAATCACAAATCAACATCTAGGGGATTTCTAGATTTTTCAAAGTTAAATACTTGTAAGTTTGATACATTTTTTTTTTCATGAAGACAACTAAAGTAATACACACATATATACATTGACCAGAATTTTTTGAAATACAACATAGAATACTATACTCCCTTAAAAAGGTGCAAAAAGCCATATTACACATAAATGTTTAAATGTCAAGTCTTTCAAATTTTTCTTTCAATTAGGAACTCTAGATATTCAAAAAAATAAAAAATTTGAAAAAAAACTGTCCAAAAAAAAAAAAAAAAAAAAAAAAACAGTCCATTTCTTTTTAGAATCACATAACAAATATACTACATTTGAATGGTACAATTTTTTGTTTTAATTTTTTATAAAAAAATGTTAAATACATTTTTGTGGGTTAAGTTAAATACTTGGTGAATTTGATTCAAAGTAAAACAGATTATGTTAAATAATTGCGTTAAGTTAAATACTTGTAAGTTTAATACATTTTTTTTTTCATGAAGACAACTAAAGTAATACACACATATATACATTGACCAGAATTTTTTAAAATACAACATAGAATTCTATACTCCCTTAAAAAGGTGTCAAAAAAAAAAAAATCATAAACTCTCTTGCCATATTACACATAAATGTTAAAATGCCAAGTCTTTCAAATTTTTCTTTTAATTAGGAACTCTAGCTATTCAAAAAAAAAAAATTGAAAAAAACACTCCCTTTCTTTTTAGAATCACACAACAAATATACTACACTTGAATGGTACAATTTTTTGTTTTAATTTTTTATAACAAAATGTTAAATACATTTTTGTGGGTTAAGTTAAATACTTGGTGAATTTGATTCAAAGTAAAACGGATTATGTTAAATAATTGCGTTAAGTTAAATACTTGTAAGTTTAATACATTTTTTTTTTCATGAAGACAACTAAAGTAATACACACATATATACATTGACCAGAATTTTTTGAAATACAACATAGAATACTATACTCCCTTAAAACGGTGCAAAAAAAAAATCATAAACTCTCTTGCCATATTACACATAAATATTAAAATGCCAAGTCTTTCAATTAGGAACTCTAGATATTCAAGAAAATGAAAAAATTGAAAAAAAAACATTCCATTTCTTTTTAGAATCACACAACAAATATAATTGCATTTGAATGGTACAATTTTTTTTTTTTATAATAAAATGTTGAATACATTTTTGTGAGTTAAGTTAAATACTTGGTGAATTTGATTCAAAGCAAAACGGATTATGTTAAATACTTGGGTTAAGTTAAATACTTGTAAGTTTAATACATTTTTTTTTCATGAAGACAACTAAAGTAATATACACATATATACATTCACTAGATTTTTTTGAAATACAACATAGAATACTATACTCATTTAAAAAGGTACCAAAAAAGAAAAAAAAAAAAACATAAACTCTCTTGCCATATTACACATAAATGTTAAAATGCCAAGTCTTTCAAAATTTTCTTTTAATTAGGAACTGTAGATATTCAAAAAAAAAATTAAATGAAAAAAAACAGTCCCTTTCTTTTTAGAATCACACAACAAATATACTACGTTTGAATGGTACAATTTTTGTGTAAAGGTATATCGTAGTGATATCTCTCTCTATATCTTGCATACATGTGTGACCTACTAAATGAAATGTTCTTTCATTAAAAGGGTGACTAAATCATGGTTGATTGCATCTATTTTTGAAAAACAAAATTGAGCATGTAGAGTTCTTCAACTGAGCATTCCAGTGATTAGTGATGCACTTGATGGTTTAGTAAGTTGAATAGAAATGAATAATGCCTTTTTGTCAAACAATCCTATAGGCGCCTAAGCCTAGGTTTTTATTTTGGAAAGAATAAATAAATAAAAGGGAGAATAGAAGCCCATATTACATCAAAAGATATCATCACATAACTGCGATGAAGCAACCCAACTATGCCTCACTAAGGGCACAATGCAAGTAGCAGTGCACACATGATTTTCAATATCAAGTTAATCTACAAAACTACCCACT